AAAGCTTCACCTTAACTTTGGGTTTTTCTTTCCAACCATTTGACGTACTTCAGATAGTTTTGCTCTAGCCTCTCCTAATCCGTATCTCAAGCCAGGTGCTGCCGCCATCCATAGACCCATATCTCAAGCCACCTGCTGCCACCATTAGGAGTACCTTCTTCCTTATTAGGGTTTCTTATTTAGGGCCTGATCCTGTATAGAGGCACTGTATTCATAAAACACGTGGTTGCAGTCTAATAGGCTATTTGAATTTGGAATGTAAACAATGCTAATCTTTTGGAGAGGGTAAGCCAAATCCCCACTTTTTTTTTGAGAAAATTTTGAAAAACTGGCAGGAGAGTGGAAGTGAGTAAAAGAGGAGTCACTTGTTTGAATAAAGGAGTGTGGCTTGAGAATAGCAAGTTCTTCACTGTTTCCTAGTTATTTTGCAACAGGTTGCTTTGTCAATAGAGAAACACTATAATCCCCACCAAAATTTCATATACAAGGGCACACTTCTCCAGCCAGTTATCTTGTATAAAGACGCTTTTGGCTTGCATGTTGAATATATAAAGGTTTTCATAAAAGCACAAGAGGTTAACCTTTATAAAAACCGTACTGTTGTCCACCTACTACAGGTCTTTTCTACTTCTCCAGTGTCCAAACTTGACTTTTTTTTCGTAGAAAATTTTGGTCCAAGTGATCATTGAGAAGAATTATTATAGTACTGTATTACTTATAGTAAATAAGAAAAATCTCATATAAATTCATTATTTTTATTATTTCTTGTTAGTAAAAAGTTTTCAATAACTGCTTTTTGAAAGTCAGGCATCTATGACAAAGGAATGTTTTTAAAAGATAATAAAAAACTATATAAAGTTATTGAATAGCTTAACCATTTTAACAATTAATTCTTTGATCTTATCAGTAATGATATCAGGTAATTTTGAAGAATTAAAACTCTTAATTTCTTCACAATTTTGTGGTAAAAAGTTAACAAAATCATTATTGGTTTCTGATATTAGATTAGTAATATTATAATATGCAAAACTAATATCACAACAATTTATAGTTATTGGATAGGGTTTAAAAAATATGCATGTGGGTATTAAATGGCGACAGGTGATTGGCACAGATTGTGCTGCGAAGCAGCATGATCTAAGCCAATTACCTGTTGCTGTTTGATATCCATGTGAATATTTTTAACCCTATCCAATAATAATATTATTGTAAAGCAGTTATTGACAACTATACTATTTTTTCACTTTCGTATAATTTACATTATCAAATTTAAACTTTTCTTTTCTTTGTTCTTTTTTTTTTTTTTTTTTTTTAGGAACAAAATTTTAAGCTATAAAAAAAAGATGATAAATCAGTGATGATATAAACTGTACGAATATGAAAATTTTTAGTGCAGTCATCAATAACATGGCTGCACAATAATAATAGTTATTATACTATTTATTCTTTGATAATTTAAAAGCAATAATATTAAAACTTACTTATTATGAGGATGATTTTTTTTACACTTCTATTTTTTTAATAACTCACAGATATTTGTTTTACCTGATCTCACAATCCATTTTTATTTCTAAAAAGACTTTTTTTTGCCAATGTTTCTAGTATTTTATTAATTATTATAGTCTGCTATATAAATACAATAAATAAGTTTTTATTTAAAAAGATGCCCAGATTTTTAAAAGTTAACTATATGTCTTGAGTACCATCTTGCAGCCAAATTTGCCTGCTAAAATTTTTTTTGTAAATTTGTAATTACAAAAAATTTTATTATACTTAACCTCACTATTTCTAAGCTAAAATAAAATTTGAGATATAATTAGTTATAATCTTGTAAAATTTATAATTTAATTTTAATCTAATTAAAAATATTTAATTTTAAACTCAACCAATTCTTAAATTCTATTATAAATTTTTATGTTTTTGATTTCAAAAAAATGTTTTTGCTACTAATTTAAGTTAATATTTTATTTATAAAATTTAAAAATTTTACTAATTAAATTTGTTTATTAAAACCTATTCTATATTTTTGTATTAAGATTATAGGAGAAGAAATTAAATTATAAAAAGGTTGTTAATAAGTATTAAAACTTATTCTATATTTTTGTATTAAGATTATAAGGGTAGAAATTAAATTATAAAAGTTTATCAATGAGTAAAAACAAAGATTACACTTTAAAAATCTTTTTTAAAATTTAGATGATTTTTACAACTTTGCTTTTTTTTTATAAATTAAAAATAAATATTACTATTTTATAGTTCTTATTTTCAAATATTATTATATAAAATTTTTTTAAATATATTAAATTTTGACAAAATTAAATCAAATACTAAAGATTTAAAATTTTAGCAACCAAATTTGCCCACTAAAATTAATGGTTTAAGGAATAGTCAGTAACAAATTTATTATTATTTAAAACAGTAATTGTCTGCAGTTTTAAGCTTAATGTTAATAATTCATATTCATCATTGTTTAAAGTAATTGCTTGTAGTCTTGAATCTGATATTAATAATTCATTGTTGTTTAAAGTAATTGCTTGTAATCTTGAATCTAATGTTAATAATTTATCATTGTTTAAAGTAATTGCTTATGACCTTGAATTAGATATTGATAATTCATCATTGTTTAAAGTAATTACTTGTGATTTTGAATCTGATGTTAATAATTCATCATTATTTAAAATAATTGCTTGTGATCTTGAATATGATGTAATAATTCATCATTGTTTAAAGTAATTGTTCATAGTCTTGAATCAAATATTAATAATTCACCATTGTTTAAAGTAATTGCTTGTAGTCTTGAATCAGATGTTGATAATTTATCATTGTTTAAAGTAATTACTTGTGGTCTTGAATCTGATGTTAATAATTTATTATTGTTTAAAGTAATTGCTTGTGGTCTTGAATCTGATATTAATAATTCATCATTGTTTAAAGTAATTGCTTGTAACATCCACTTATTTATGCCAGTAATACAAACCTCTAAAAAGGAAATGGCCAATCGGAGAATGTAAAATGTAATGATCCCAGATCAGCCTGACACATGAGCAAAACGAAGAAAAACACCAAAAAAGAGAAAATACTCAAAAACTAGTGTTTAAATTGACCTTTTTGGACTAATAAAAAATAACAGGAATGAAATTTTACATATAAAAATTCAAATTATTACTAAAAGTTCACAACCCTAACACTAACCCTAAATACGACTTTCTTTTTTGGTTTGTATTACCGGCGCAAATAAGTAAATTGATTGCTTGTGGTCCTGAATCAGATATTAATAATTCATCATTGTTTAAAGTAGTTGTCTGTGGTATTAAACTTGATATTAATGTTTCATCATTGTTTAAAGTAATAGCTATCTGCAATCTTGAGCTTGATGCAAATTCACATTCATTATTATTTAAATCATTATTTGAACTTGATAATAGTGGTTGTCTGCGGCATTAAACTTAATGTTGATGGTTCTGAATTAAAGCTCATGGATTAGAGAATGTGTCATCATGGTTGTCTTTTTTTTTAGCCTGTTTACATAACAAAAAGTAAAAATTTTTGAGAGAATTCATTTTATATCATAAGGTTGCATTTAATGCGCTCTTCTTAACAAACCTTCTTTTTACCCTGTAAATATAATAATAGTGATTAAAAAGTAATTTCATAAATTCAACATAAAACTTTATTATTTTCTAACCTTTTTTGATAGACTTTTCCTTCGCTTCAGTTGAATAGATTGATAATTATCATCGGACTAAATATAAAAAAAGAGTTAAAATTACTCAAAAGGACTGGAGGTTAGTAATTCGGGGTTCGCCTTTCTTCAATTTCTGAAGTACTCCGATTTTCAAGTTTTCTTGTAATTTTTTTTCGTAACAAGCGACCTTGTTCTCGTATATCCTTGGTGGCTTCTAGGACATGTTTAGACTGAAATGGACCTTTTAGTTGCAAATCAAAACATAGTGAAGATTTTAGAAACTAACATGCCAATCTCTTCAAGATCGATCTCATCTCCCAGTTGTTCCTTTCTTGTCTTCATCCAGTATTGTTGTACTGCTACTGATTTAGCTTGTTCCTCATTATAAAAGAAAATTCAATAAGTATCTCTAAATAATGCAGAATGTTTGCCCAAAGGATAACCCGTTTTTTGCACCAAAGAGATACGAGGTCTTAACTCCGCAACACAGAGGATGGGAGGTAGTGTGTAATCCAAACCAACACAGAGGTAGTTCCACCATTGACACAGAGGTCGAACAAACAGCTCCATTAATAGCACAGAGGTCAGAGCAGCAGCTCCCTCAATGACACAGAGATCAAACGAGGATGGGATAGATTATCAATAGTGCAATAAACATTTTCCAATTGCCACAGAGGTCGAACAAAGATTGTTAAATAAAGTTACCTCAAAAACGCTTAAACAAGCTTGTGCAAATGTTTTATTTTCGGGCTTGAGAGTATCGTCTTGAGCAAGATAAATAAGAGTCCCTTTATACACACTGTGAGCTTTTCTTTTATCCGTTAGACGCTTGCATTTCAAAAAGCCAAGCAGCGAGCAGGAAGTTAAATCGTTAAAGTATGTGTCAAGCTTAGACACATCTGTGCCAAAGGGCATTATATATACCGCAATTTTTTTTTTATTAAATACCGGTAACTACGTACGCGTATATCGCGAATTTACTATGGATTACAGATAATGTGATATCGTCGTTAAATTAAAGTACTTTTTTAGAACTGAACGTTTCACTAATAAAAAACCGGCACAAAAGCCATTTTCCAGCTTTGAACGAACGCTAATATTCACTGTACAAAAGAATCTTCCTCCTCGTGGACTTTGCTTAGAAGACAAAATAACTGTGCAAAGAGGGTAGCTGGAAGTATTTTCGTCTAAAGCTTCTTTGTTTCGTGAGATTTAAATAAATTACTTATTGCTAACTATTCAATTTGAAAGGTACAAGCTCTTTAGCAATAGAAGATTCAAATTCAATGTTTAAGTTTAGTCGCTTGGCTAGGGGTTGTCAACCATAAATTAAAGTTTGGTTTATATTTATATACTGTATCGTAGATTCTTTAATGGATTTAGGTTATTAACAATAAAATATTACTTTTCCTCAACTTTACGCGTATCTATCTATTCTCTAAGACATATGTGATAATTTCATTTGTATGTATTTATTGGTTTGTAACGAAGTTTTTTTTTATCTTCTATTAGTTAATTATCACGGAAAATCACGGGTAGATCTACAAAAATTAATCAATCATAACGCCCAGGGGTAAAATTACGAAATTTGGCCTAAACTAAGCCTAATTCGGGCCAAAACTCAAAATAACGCTAGACCCGGTTTAGGTTTATTTTTTAACCGTTAATTCAGAATAATCACATAATAATAATTTATACAAAATTACAAATCCGAAAAAAAATAAATAAGAAAAGCAGTTCAAAAGAAAACATAGATGTCCTATTATCATTTCTAAGCAACTCGCACCTAATCAAAAACTTATCGTCTGTGACATTCAGATTCAACGTGGGGCACTTCCTTGAACTCTCGTCATTGCTATTTAACCGATGCTCAGCATAATCGGCTTAGCTGGATTTGCCGATACAGTAGTCATAGGAATGTCAAAGTGCTTAAAGTTTATTATGCATGCCTTCATTGGTATAAATTTATGTAATGTAATTAATTAATAATATTCCGGAAAAAAAGGAACAAACTTCCGAAATCGCAATACACAAAATCAGCAAACTAATCAATTACATAATATAAATTTACTAATAGCCGGTTTTTCCCTTTATTCAAATAAAAGAAATTGAAAATATCACGTACGTACATAAATAAAAAATAATTTTTTAGTGTTTCATAATTCCTCTTTGATATGATATGCCTGTTAGCTAAACTTTATATGACAACTCAATTTAAGTAAATAATTTAAGCAATAAACTAAACAAAAACAGAATTCTTTTAATTAAGATAAATTCTCATTTACAGCATTCGTTTATTTTTAATTTTTTTTTAATAAAAAAAAAAATTAAAAGATTAGAGTTTGAGAATTGGCGGCTAGTATTATCACATGACAATTTTCCGGTAATTTGGGTATAGGCAAGGTCGACAACTTTACCATCTAACCGGCAAAATTTATGAATCTAGTTATTTAACACTACGCATTTCTTATTTGGATCAAAAAAATTGTGGAATTTAGAGGGATTCAAGTTTGCTTAGTAACCTATTGACATTTGGCTTATAACGCAAGCTGATGTTCGAAATATTTGAAAAAAAATTTGATAGGCTGTGTAGCGTTAAACCACATTCTACATATTGAGCACTGTTCCTGCTGATGTAACCTCCCTAATGCTTTTTACCTAAAATGATGATAAAGCGCGTATTACGACGATCGCAATATCCAAAAAATTTTGTTATATTGTCCATACGCATATAAATGCCAAGTCATTTCTACTTCAAAACAATAATACTATTATTATTATTTACAATTTTCCAAAAAAAAAAAAATGCATCAAATTTATTATACTCTTGGTATTTTTTCCTAAGACTATTTATTTCCTTGTGCATTAATGCATTCTTTTCTGATCTTAGTCCTGCCAAGATAGTCTGAATAGTTAGAAATTATGCAAATTTTGTCAGATTGTAAAACGAGACTTTGAAGATATTGCATTTTTTGATGTGGACCTTTGATGCATGCGGTAAATTAATTCGAACAATGATTCGATTTGTGCATTATCAATCCAATGTTTGGCAATTAAACCAGAATAAAAACTGCCACGGTTGTGGATCGATGGATCGATGTGAAGTATGTAAAGAAGATGATCTTGATTTAGGTCCGTCAGCATTTGAAAGATTCGCTAATCTTTCGAAGGGACGCATACAATGCAGTTGGAAGCTCTTGTCATAACGTTACATTGAAATTCTCCAAAAAAAAATTTCCAGGCATCATTTTTTTAAACTGTAATAACTATTGCTTTAATGTTTCAATCTGACATTGACATATATGTAAATATTAATAATAATAATTCGTGTACGTATATAGACATTATGTTCTTTGTCAACTTTACAATATTGTAATACACAACTTTAGGAAATAAAATCTCGTACAATAATAAAATCATTTCCTGTTTTTACAATCTGTAGGGGTGTTTCAAAGTCACCCCTTCTTCGTTGAATATTACAATCTCGGAGTGGTTTTTTTTTTCTTTTTTGTTTGAGTTTGTACACACGAATCGAACGAAATAATAAATTTATGCGCCTTATGCAGTATACTCCCGGATAATGGAATAACGCATTTCTGAAGTTTCTTGTCTATATAGTCTTTTTTTTTTTTTTTTAAAAAAAAAAAAAAATCCTTTCTTCGCTAAGAAGTTTCTATTTAAAAAATAAGATTTATTCTTCCAATCATAAATAATGCATTTTATTCCTTTGTTTCTGGAGCATTTTCCGAAAAGTGAAATAAAATTTTGTTAGATACCCCTAATCTAATAAAAATTTTAGATTTTGATTGGTTAAAGGTAACAGTTTGACTAACGGATAGTCTTGTAATTTGTTTGGCATTATCCAATTTGTTATTATGCCAATAGATTTTTATTGTTACCCATATTAAAATCTATCCGAATCCAATAATTTCGTTTGGGCAGCGGTAGTCTCCGCCCTTTACTGCAAAGACCCCTATATGTACATAATCCTTCTCCCTAATGCTTTTACCTAAAATGACGATAAGACAAAGCACATCTATCTCCGGATTCAAAAAATTTGTTATACCGTCTATATGCATATAAAGGCCAGGATTTTTCACTATTTTTCTTCAGAAAAAAAAACCGTTAGTATTTATTGATTATTAGTGCAACTCTCCAAAAAAAAAAACAAAAATGGCCTCACATTTATTATACACTCGGTTTTTTTTTCTTATGACAATTTCTTTGTGCATTATTGCATTCTTCTCTGATCTTAATACTGCCTATAAATTGGGTAGTCTGGGTAATAAGCTAGAACCTAGAAGTAATCTTACTAAACGAAACTCTGGAGAATTTACATTCTATGGCGTGGGCCTTGGTGCATGCGGTAAAACTAATTCGGACAGTGAACTTGTTTGTGCAATATCAACAGATCTGTTCGGTTCTTCACCTGGTGGCAATTCAAATAAGAATCCAAACTGCGGTAGAACGATTACAGCGACCTTTGGTGGGAAATCAGTTGATCTCACGGTTGTGGATGTATGTGAAGGATGTAAAACAGATGATGTTGATATGAGTCCGACAGGATTTGATAGACTCGCTGCTGCTTCGGCGGGACGTATAAAAGGCACTTGGGAGTTCACATCATAATGTTACTTTGAAATTTCCAAAAATTTCAGGAATCTTTTTTTTTTAAAAAAAATTGTAATAATTAATGTTTTGAAGTTTCAATCTGATATATACGTAAATATTAAGTAGACTTTTTGTTATTTGTCAACCTTACAATAATTGTAATAGAAAATATAATATAATATCGTATGATAAAATCATTCACTGTTTTTACAATCTGTAAGAGTGTTTCAAAGTCACTTCTTTTTTTTCGTTAAATATTATAATCTCTGTGTGTTTTTTCTTTTTTGTATAAGTTTTGCACACACAAATTGAATGAATTAATAAATTTATGCTATTTAAGACGTATACTCCGAGAATAGTGTCATAACGTATTTCTGAAGTTTCCTGTCTACGTAGTCTTTTTTTTTAAAAAAAAAAAGGAGTTTTCATGTTCTACATAACGAATTGCAGAGACCACTACAGTATTCTCAATAACAATTAATGTATTACAACTATCATGGCGCATTGGGTACGCAGTATATGCGGTCGTATAATAAAATTTATTAATGAAAGATTTTTATATGTTTATAATGAAATTTTTAAATGGATGCACAGCCCTAACGGTTCGATAGTTTTGGATAAAAAAAATTATGCAAAAGTCAGTATTATGTCACTACAAACAAAGTTACAGAATCATTTCTTTTATTTAAATATGAAAAAAAATTTTAATATACTATGTATGTTTTTTTTTTTTTTAATTAAAAAAAAAAGGCAAGCTTCTTTTTTAAAGAATTGGCTCTGTAACTTTACTTACTTGCAGAGATATAATACTAGCCTTTGTAAAATTTTATTCAAATTATCAAATAGTTAGGGCAGTGCATCTACTTAAAATTTCTAATATTATAAACTAAAAATCTCCATTAATAAATTTTTATAATGACCACATAGAGAAATCTTGTGTTTTGATCAATTTTAACATGACATATGTAACATGTCATGTTATTTAATTGTCTGGAGCGTGGTAGAACAGACATTTTTTTTTAAACTTTTGATGAACTTTTTTTATTTGAAATCTATAGATACATAGAATTGAAACAAAAAAAAGTTCATCGAATTTGACTTGGCGGTTGCTGAGATATCTTCACTTAAAGTTTTAAAAAAATCAAAACAAATTGTACTAAAATTTCTTTAAACTTTGAGTGAAGATATCTCAGCAACCACCAGGCTAAATTTGATAAACTTTTTTATTTGAATTCTATGAATTCATAGAATTGAAATAAAAAGGTTTATCAGATTTGACTTTGTGGTTACTGAGATATCTTCGTTTAAGTTTTTTTTTTTTTTAAAAAAAAAAAAACTTAAAAAACGTCTATCACTACAGAAGCTGCGCCAAAATCTAAACTTTGAGCGAAGATATCTCGGCAATTATCAGATCAAATTCAATAAACCTTTTTTTATTTGAATTATATGGATGCATAGAATTCAAATAAAATATTCACCGAATTTGGCCTAGTAGTTGTTGAGATACCTTCGCTTAAAGTTTTAAAAAAATTTTAATTTGTAGGGGGTATGAATAATATATTTGGAGGGTATAAAAAATAATCCGAATAACCGTGTACCCGATCACCGACTCGAAAAAACTACCGAGTCATATTATAGACGTTAGCCCGATATTTAGATATGTAAATTTCGTTTTGCCAGCTCTAGATTTGATTAGCGATACCCGATTGGAAAAAATGGTTGACTCGACGGGTCACGGGTAGGGATTCTTAAACCGGATTGGAACCTTAACGCTAATCGTAGATTCTAGAAATAGCGGGCATCTGCGCGTTATTTTAACTATCTCGTGTATATGTGCCATAAAAACTAGCTACGGTTGTATTTAGACATCGATTTTTTCGGTAGAAATAAAGTCGCAAGGCATAATTTATGCACGATCCGAAAAATACCAAAACCTAAATTAGTTGCCACAATTTTTTTGTCATAAATTTTAATAACTATAATTACATAACGATAATTACTATGTTATGTAACAATTATTAATGTGACTTACAATAAAGATTCAATCCCATAATTTACGTTAAACCAGTATATTTTGTAAATTTAGGATTAATGTTATCAACTTCTGTAAATTTGTAATTTTCTGAATCTTAAGGCTTTCTACCACACTTGCATTTGCGCCAATGTCCATGATCTTTGCGTTTTCTTTTTGGATAATCCCACACCTCTTTGGTTGCGGCACGAATTTTAACTTTAGGTGATGCCGCATGTGTAAATTCAGGTAGAAATTACGGCATATATATACCCGCGCGTTACACTGACTCTCATTATTATTGTTCCACTTGAAAAATAAAATTTGAATTACAATATTTCGAGATCTGATCTTTGAATTTTAAATATTACAAAACTTATAATCTCATTTATTATATATCTAAATTTGAATATCAGTTAATTATAAAAAATTTTAAATTAACCAAATTTTTTATGGCACAATATTTATGGAATCTATAAGTAAAAATAATTAATTAAAATTTATATAAAATGCAATTTCTGATAAAATCATTATTTTATCATGTGATTTTATTTAATGCGCATTAAGAAGACATAATTTAGTAATAAGGATAAAAAAA